TGTTAATCGTAATTCTGCTAACCAAAACCTACCCCAAACTGAACAGTCAGTAGAAAACTCTACTGAGGATATGGAGGTTGCCAATCAAGGTGATCCTGAAGCTGAACCTGAAGCTGAACCTGAAGTCCAAGCTCCTACCCCAAGTAATGACACAGAAGTGTTAACTGTAGAGGAACCTGTGTCTCAGAGAGGGCAAAGGAGGGCAAGAAGTAGAAGTCCTGATCAAAGAAGGACAAGACCTAGAACTGATAGAAGCAGGTCACCCCTAAATCCATCTGTTGAGCCACCTCCTCGGAGGGCACAACACATTTTACCACAAACTGTTGATGCTTCTTTGGTTGAGGAAACAGAGGGTAGCTCCAGAACTCGACAACATGTGACAGCCCCTCAGGTTCAGAACAATGCTTTGTCAAATGACACTGAAGGAAGCTCTAGAACTAGACAACATGTGCCATCCAGGCAGCAGGTACTTGCTACAGAAGTCCAGAATCCTAGTCCAAGTGCAGTGCAATTCTCAAACCCAGAAACAAGAAGTTCTTCCCAGCCTCCTCCAACTGAGACGCCAGGAACTGGAGAGTCTACTGGACCCAGTCAGAGACCCCCAACCATTGTCTTGGATCTTCAAGTGAGACGGGTACGTCCGGGAGAGTATCGTCAGAGAGACAGCATAGCAAATAGAACACGATCCCGTTCTCAAACTCCTAATAATACAGTTACTTATGAGAGCGAGAGAGGTGGGTTCCGGCGCACTTTCTCAAGGTCTGAACGTGCTGGAGTGAGAACGTATGTAAGCACTATTAGAATCCCAATACGTAGAATCCTGAACACAGGTCTTAGTGAGACCACATCTGTTGCAATCCAAACAATGCTGAGGCAAATAATGACTGGTTTTGGAGAACTTAGCTACTTTATGTACAGTGATAATGATGCAGAGCCTAGTAATCCTGGAGCTGTCTCTCCACCAACATCAGTAAGTGAGGAAATTCCAAACAATACAGATGCCAGTGTTCCACCACCGCCTGCAGAAGTTCCAGAACCACCTAATATAGTGGAAAGTGAAGAAGGAAGTAATGAAGGTGTTTCTACATCTGGGGCCAGAAGAGAGGCCCGCAATAACAGAGGGTCAGTCCCTTTTGAAGAAAGTGGATCACTACCATTCCTCAGCCTGGCCCAGTTCTTCCTTCTAAATGAGGATGATGACGATCAGCCAAGGGGACTAACAAAAGAACAAATCGATAATTTATCAACCCGAAATTTTGGTGAAAACGATGCTCTGAAAACTTGTAGTGTATGTATAACTGAATATACAGAAGGCAACAAGCTTCGCAAGCTACCTTGTTCACATGAGTACCATGTCCACTGTATTGACCGCTGGTTGTCTGAAAATTCCACTTGTCCCATATGTCGCAGAGCTGTTTTGGCTTCAGGCAACAGAGAAAGTGTTGTTTAAATCCATGTATTGCAAACTTTCAACTAAAAAGCTGGCATTTATACTGCTGGGCAAAGGAAAATTTAAAATGCTGTTTTTTTTTTTTTGTTTTTTTTTTTTATGGCCACTTTTTGAGTGGTGCTTAAAATAGGGTTTTGGCTTGGAGTGAGTCGTCCTGTTAAAACTATAAATTCATGCCACACAGAATATGTTTTAAAATCTCAAGATAATTTTTTCTGAGCACGGATGGCAAAACATCCGGGTTTAAGACAAAATTCATCCCATCCCCCGCCATCCCTGTTATTCAGTTTAAAGCAGCATTTTTCTATTAATACTCCTTTTTAAATTTTTTTTATTTACTTATCTTTCAGTGCTGGAATGAATCAAACGAAGCCCCCAAGTTTTGCTCGTTTGTACCAGCTAGTTACTCTATCTTTTGCTTTACCCCCTGTTAAGTTACAGAAATTATTTTATATGAACTATTATTTCTTTATTGTCAGCAGTGTTGTTGTATTTTTTTTTTTTTTTTTTTTTTTTTGGCCAGGGGAAGTTTGAGAGAATAAGGACATTTCTCCAAACGTATGTCATCAATGTCCCAAAGTAGCACTAATTTAGAAATATGCACTAGTTAATTGCTCTTTTAGTGCTTTCTGCATTTCCTTAACCTAATAGTGTACATGGTTTCTGTTCATACCTGACAGTAAGCCAGACAAGCATATTTTTCTTCTACTTTTGTTTCTGTTGCCTGGCAAATCAAGAATGCAACTTTTAAACTATTCAAAATTAATTCTTCATATTTGAAAAGAGACTTTTCGTATGTTAGAACTCCTGCTCCTATTACTAAGGAATACAGGGTGTTAAAAGCTCTTTCAAACAGCAGATCTTCTGGTAGGCTTGTTTGGTACCTTGTATTGAAGTATGCGCAAAAGACATGTATTTAGGGCTCCCTCTATTTGAATGAACGATCCTGTACATATTAGACCTGCTAAGTTTTGGACCATATTTCTATAACCCATTTAAACCCAAGTTTGGTTGCAATACAATATTTTCAAATAGATCTGAAAACCACAACACCTTGCGCTAAGCACTTATTAATGATTGCACCGTAGATTTTATTGTGGGCCAGCAATGCTTGGCTAAGTCTGTAAAACTTTGGTTCCACTTGCATATTAGATCAGGCATTGGTTGATTTTTTTTATTTATTTTTTTGACTTATGCTTGCATTTTTGTTAAGTCACAGTATTTTTTTAAATATTTTAAAATATTATATATAGTAAATATTGGGATTATAGAAACAGAAGCATTTAAATACATATCTCATTCATTGGCAATTGCTCCCATGTTCAAGTTTAGCATTTAGATATGATTTCACTTGTGTGCTTTTGTTTTTTGTTTTTTATTCCCCCTTTTCAAGCAGTTCCTTTTAACATTGCACATGTCTATCACCTAACAACAGACTTGTTCCTTTTGCAAGTGCAAATGCCACAGTCTTCCTCAATCTGTGAGTGTATGCATTGTAACGTTTGTTTTAGGTATGCATTATCAAAAGTAACTCAGATTTTTATTTTGTGTGAAAAGGTGGCGCTTTTTTTTTTCTTTTTCTTTTTTTTTTTTTCTGGTGTAAATGTCCTTTCAGCCAACTGTGGGGGTGGGGCTTTCTTTCCAGCACTGAACAGGGGTGGGTCAGTTACATGGAGAATAAATTTAAAATAAGTCTGGCAAACACCCGATGACAAATCGATTTGCAAACTGCAGGCTCATTTGGATTTATGTAAATAAAGACACTTATCAGATTTTTCTCTTCTGTATTGCTGAGGCCCATTTTATGGCATACTGTAGAAATTGCTGATTTAGTTAAATTTGGAATATTTATCTTGTTGTGAAATATAACAAATGTCTATGCTTGTTGAAATAATAAAAAAAAATCACTTTGTTTAAAATGTATAGCTTTTTGTAGCGGCTTCCATATTTCTCAGACCACCAGTGCACAGATGTTTGAAAACGGGGGGCTGGAATCCTGTAGCTCTCCATCTATTGTCTAACAGCTTCCATAACTGGCTTTCAGAAGAGAAGGGAGTTATGTCGACAGATGTAGAGCACAAATTGCCAAACCTTATTCTGAAATGTTGGGATGTAGCAGGGGTAACATATCATACAAACTCTGAATGCCTTTGATGAAATGCTTGCTCATACTTTATAAATATATATATCTATTGCCATAGGTGCCAGCTTAAGAATTGCATTTTCAATTGTCTGACCGTGAAGCAGGGACTCGTACATGTTAAAAATATATGTGGGGAAAAAAGCGGCTGCTAATCTGAAATGGGAATAAAAGTTTTAACCGTGAATAATAAAATCGAACAATGCTTTTATTTCTTGTCAGTAACAGCAGATTGCAACATCGTACAAATATACCACATTCTGTGTTGTATTTAGTTTCAGGTGTGTGTTTAAGCTAAACGTGACTTAGCAGTGTATTTAACAATACATTATATATATATATATATATATATATATATATATATATATATATATAATTTTATTTTTTTAGTCAATACATTGTTGAACACAGATCTGCACACCAGTCAAGCCATAAGGCTTGCTTTTCACACACAAATCTCAAATTAAGTGATGTTGCTTCTGCAAATTAGTTTAAAAAAAAAAAATCACATATTTGCCTCATTCCATTTTAAACATGGATTTCTTAGTTTGCTGTATATCACTGTAAATTTGAGATTTGTGTGAAAAGCAAGTCTTATGGCTTGACTGGTATGCAGATCTGTGTTTCACAATGTTTTTACTATCCACTAACTTTACAATATTTCCCCACCATTTCTTGGTATATATTTAAACACAAATACGTTTGTTTTGTTTTTTACATAAAACACATGTAAATGATGGCTGGTGGAAGTGCAATATTATTTTCTGCATGCAACATCCATACAATTCTACAAATACTTCAATAAACTGTAACTGTAAACTGTGGAAAATATGCTTATTCTAAGGTACCAGATGCCACTGTGGTAACAGCCACTTGGCTGTTTTATAGTACACCTTTTAAGAAATGGATTGTGTCCACTGTTGACACTAGCAAATTAACGAATAATAAAATTTAAAAAATAATACAAACTGGCTTTTGCTTCCGCCCTCACTTTTCTTTCATGGACGGGCTTGTACAGATATTCATTTAGTGTTTTAAGAGATCAGATATTTATGATATGTAACACTGACATCTGGGGAAATGCTTTCTCTATTATAACAAAATTTAGAATCTGCTGCATTTGTGTCCTGAATATTAGGGATCTGCTGAATTGAAGTCTATTATATGTGATAAAACATTTTAAATTGTACACTCAAGTCTTGGGTTTTTTTTTTTCGTATTTTGAGGGCATGGGGGTTGTGAATGTGAAATGGCGTGTCTATATAGAAACTGAAGTGATGTATATTGCAAATATATATATTTTTTTTTTATGGCATTGCATATCCCTGCCTCCATTTACCTGAAACTGCATGTCTCCAAGGTGTCTGCAACACGACTTTAAGAATGGGTACCCGTCATTTGTACTTCCACCCATTGGGGATTAAAGGCAAATGTTGGCCAAACAAACCCCCAAGGCTATCAGGGTAAGAGGTTCTGAAGCTGAAAATACCCTGCATATCCAATTAAATGCAGACTAGAATGAGCTTCTATTTTGTGGTGCCACTTCATAAGTGCTACAATTTTAAGGTCTCTAAAGGTGGGGTCCACCGACTATATGAATGCATCATCTGCGTAAAATGGGGGTGGCAGCTCCTATCTTTTGTGTATAACATGTTTTAAAGCAACACTAGAGCGTATGGAATGCAAACCTGTATTCTACTACTTTAGTGTTTCTGTTCCCAAGTTTGTAGGTGTCTCCCTCCACCCCCTTTTTTTTTTCATGCATCATAAAAGGGTAATATTGCTTACCCTCCCACTCGCTTACCTTTTTTCCAGTAGTGTCACAGGGCAGGCATGGCCTTGGAATTGGGGACCCGCTGTACATTCATGGCTATTGCTGCACGCATCATCATTTCCTCATAGGAAACCACTTTATCAGTGCTTTCCTATGGGGGCTGCAGTCATGTTGAGTTTTCATCGGTTATTACTGCATGAGGAAGCTCATCTCGAGGCAGTCAGTATAAACATTGAAAAACCACCATGTTTTTCATTAGAGAGTTTAACACAGGGTCACAGCACCCAGGACACTTCACTGAGATGATGGGCCTGGGTGACTTAGTGGTAATTTATTTATTTTATGCCTTTTCTCATTGTGTGCATTAAGACTCCTTTTATACTACCGGTACATTTCTTTGATATGGCAAACCAATAACATTTTAAATCGACAACAAATCAAAAAAATATATATATATATATTTTATTTATTTTTTTAATAACTTTAAACAAACACACAAGAATAACATGATCTGATGGTTTTCTCCAGTGCCCATTTGGAATAGCATCACATTTGGAATAGCATGTGATACTGGCAGAAAGTTAGCACCCATGATTTTTTAGTAGTTCCTAGATACATGTGCACTTGAGATGAAATCTTAAAGGATTACTCCTTGCTGAGACGCCCCCCTCCTCCTTAGTTTCTGTTAAATAAAAATAAATGGGATGTCTTGAGACAGGGCTAAAAAAATACTTTGGGCACAGATTTATTCTTTGCAGCCTAGTTTTCTCCTTATGGGCTGCTAATGATGCTGCCAACATGTGAAGTTACACATCCAGCTGCAAAATATCGCTGTAAATGCATAATTTATTTCTGAAACACTTCAAATACAGACTTCAAGTACCATGACCACTTCAAATCAATGAAGTGTTCATGATGCTTGGAGTAACCCATTTATTTACGAAAAAAGGCCACATCGCTCCATTTCAACTAGTTACATTTTGGCTATTCTAGTCTGAAATTTGCCATTTGATTTTTCTATTCATCGCCGTTCACTGTTAAGTGAATACATACTTATGCCTGGTGGCCATTTTGCCTGAAGATCCAGTATGCATATGTATATATTGACATGGATTGCATGATCTGCTCATTATTTTCAAGTCATCCATTCAAAACTAATGCAATCTGTGACTGTTATGCAGTCTGAGGGAAGCACTTGCACAAACCTGTAATAGTCTGCCTTAGATTAATGGGAGTTATAATGGTACCCTTTGCCCCCAATTATTCAATCCCACTCTTTGTCAATGTGGTACTCTTCAGCCCCTCCACCAGTACTTAGAATATGGGCTGAATATATTATAATAGGCTGAAAATGACTCGATTTTGGAGTGTTACAGGGAACTCTAAATTCTCTGCCTTTAAATGAATGCAGTTATAAACAAGCAATGTTTAGCATTCTATGATATGTACTTTTTGTTTAACCCATTATGGATGACATAACCCCTTCAAAATGTATGTATATATAAAATACGGTACATTTTCTCAACCCCATAAAGCCTTGCTTGCCATAATTCTACATCAGGAATACCAGGTTGCAGTGGCACTTCTCTGCCTTGAACCTATTCCAGCCATTCAATGTCTACAAATGTGCTATAAATAACAACCCTCCTTCTTCCAAACAGTAAATGGATCATGCTATTCCTACAGGGAGGGGAAGAAGTGACTAACCTCTCACATCCCTATTGGTATAGAACTACATACTGTATGTGTGCATTAAACTTGAAAGCAGAAATGTGTTTTACATTCTGTTGCCATTTATAGTAAACTGCTACTAATGCAATCAAGGATTTACAAATACCAATAAGCAGATTATTTATTTAATATTTTTTTCCTCTATTTTTGTTCGACTCTGAAATATTGCAAGTTTAGGGATGTATATTATCTAAAGCTTTTCATTTACCTGCAATGTTTACATATTTTAAAAAAAGTTTCCATTGTTTTAATTGTGTGTTTTTGTTTTTTTGAACCTCAGTCTATAAACAGCATTAGCTATAGATTTCACATTTCATATAATATGCTAATATTGCAAACTACTTGGTAGTAAAGGGGTTAAAGGAACTCTCAAAATAACAGTGACACTATAGACATCAGAACCACTACAGTTGAATGTAGTTGCTCTGGTGCCTATAGCATGTCTCTGCAGTTTTGGCACTGCAAACTCTGCCTTTTCAGAAAGCTACATTTACATTGCTGACTAGTAACATCTCTAGGGGCAATAACTCAGATGGCCACTAGAGGTGCTTCCTAGTTAAGTGGTGCACTGTATACAGCACCAACATTCCGCGTCTTCACGCTCTGCATGGAGATGCAATGATTCAGTACAATCTTTGAGGAGTGCAATTTTGCTTTGCTATAGGAAAGCATTGATTTGGCTGAGATCATCAAGCACCAGGTGCAGCATTGGAGAGAAGTTAAGTAAAATACTTATGTCCATGGGATGGGGAGGGGTGTCGCCTAAATATTTACTCCTGCACTATAGTGTTAAAAATACAAACACTATGGTTTTCCTTTAAGCTCAAGAGTTGTTTTGGGAGGTAGTCCATTTGAAAATAGTGCTTGGAGTGATCTTTTGATTCTATTAGTCACACAACATTTGTTGGCTTGTGTAAGATGTTTTGTTAGCTCTTCAGTCTTAAGCCGTGCAATAATGGGCTAGCTTGATCAATGTCAGTTGATCACTCATAGCCAACGAGTGAAGCCCTGCACTGACTGGCTTAGCCCAGGCTCTAAAATGGTTTGCCAACTTAAAATGGGAGGCGCCAGGTCAACATGACCATTAGAGTGCACTGTTATGGTTTTTATGTTCCTTTAAAAATAAGCAGGAAATCCGAAAAACCTTGAACCTTCATTGTAAGAAATTGTACGTACAGGATTTTCAAATTTAAAAGTGCATACACCTCTTGCTCTCTCATGAGACACTATGTAATGATGTAGGTGATCTAATTTGTCTCATGTAAGGCAGAGTTCCCACTTTGTTGCCAAGGGGAATACTTGTGTTTCTTTCCAGATAGAATCAGTGATAGCCTCAACACTTCATATAGCCCGCATATATAGTCTTTCAATATTTTAACCCCTTATTTTCTTTACATGAATTTGGCTTGTTAATAGCTCAATAGTGCAATCGATTACAGTAAAAATTGCATTTAAGTTAAAGTATATAGATTTTTTTTTTTTATTCTGATCATTTTCAGAATAACATTTAAAATGTTTTTAGTTTCTAAAGCCTCACTCACCATTTTTTATACTCTAGGAATGGTTACCAACCTGCAAAGGGAGACATTTCTCTGCCAGAGGACACTAGTCAATCATTTAATGCCTGTAAGTGTGCTGCTTTAAAACGGTAAAGGAAATTTCAATGGGTGATGTCATGATGTGTCAGGTGATCTGTATCTGGGGAACGATGGGTTAAATCTTGTTGGTGACATCTGGAAATGACCTGCAAGAAAGTCATGTTTTATTTTTCTAGTTGTAAACTAAATGATTTTTTAGAAACTTACAACATATATCTGGTTGTAAGGGATGGGTGCTCTTTATTACTGGGGCCTTATCCGATATTTTATCAGAGTGCGCTTGAGAAACACAGCATTTTAATTCATGTAAAGTTCCAGAAGTGGTTTTAGATGCTTTTTTATTGTTGAGGGCATTATGTATGGAATATGTTTTATCTCAAAATAATTGTCTGTATTCACCATGATTATCTGACCTGGGTACAAAGCTATCAAATGCATCTATACTTAATATATTGCATTGTGCATTTTCAACAAGGTTTGAAATGGAATAAATAACCAGTCATAATACTGGAATTCTGACACCTGTCTGCCCCACATCAAGACAGCAGAGCTAAAACATGAGATAAGCCCCCCCCACCCCCCCACCAAAAAAAAAAAAAAAAAGCAAAACACTTGTTCCATTTTGAGAGCCAAATCAAATTTGCTGTGGATTGACATGTTCTTGCCAAAAGCTCTCCTGCAACATAAATACTGTTACTTCACTAGTACAGTAATTATTAGGGTTTCTGTAAAATTTTCTCACTTTTTTTCTTTTCTGATGTAATTTGTAATATATTTTGTATTTGTTTGCACTGTGACTGGGTTTGTTTATAATAAATGTTCCTTTGTTCTGCTTTTGTCTGGTATAAGTCTTGTTACTGAAGAGACTTAGAATAGTACTTAAAATAGTTTCATACACATCACAGTTAAACTGTGTTTTACTTTAAATCTTGATATTATTGAAAGTGTGATAAACAAGACAGCAACCGGTTCACAACAGTTCTAAATGACAACAATCAATGGTAGCGTAAAGTGTTTGGAGTTAAGTGTAGGACAGTAGTAGCTACTTGGCACAACAAAAGACTTCAGAATTGATATCCCATGTGACCATCAACAATAAGAGAGAGTTATTGAAAGAGTATATAAAAGGAATAACGTTCCATTCTTGAGTTTGGTCTTGGGACCAAAACATAAAGAATAAAAGAGTTGAGAGAGAGAGAAAAGGAGAGCGGAAAGAAAAAGAAAAAATTAGGGACAGGGCCTGACTGTGATGGTGACTGGACGTGTTCTCTAAGAGCCCTTCAGGAATTTGGCGTTTTAGTCCAGTCGCCCATTTCTTGGGCTCTTTGTCTTGAGCAGACAGAGTAAGGCTGCAACCCTGCTTTCACTGACCGGCTCGGGGTTACTTTCAGCGGTCGTTGGGGGTGCTCTCTGCCATTTGAGTGTGAGACCTAGTGTTGCGGAAGGGAGAGGTGGCCTTTTCCTGGACTGACGCATGTGGAATCATGGAACTGAAGCCCCGCTACCCCTCCCCCATTTCTATGGACCGGCAGGGGTAATCCCCCACCACGAGACTTGCATAACAGCCACAACATGAGTTGCAGTCACTAATGGCGCATTTACCATGGTGTAGATCGCGTGCTTATGCTCAAGCCAAATCAAAGGTCTCCCAGATGAGCTGTGGCACGCAGAGGAATGTGGATCGCTGTACCATGCCAGATCTACCACCTGAGCCCTGTCTTGCTAGTTTACATATCGCATAGTTTGCCATCAACTGCCATTATCTGAGACCGTGACTTGCCTTCACTGGACATAGGCTAAAATCATCTGGCTGGCCGTGGCGGTGCTCTGGGCTCTCACACCACATCCACGATGCCCCTCAAGGTGGAACCAATTCTTTCACAACAGCTGATGATGATGATAATACCTTTCTGGTTAATCACCCTGTCTCCCAGTGTCTCTGTCCTTCAGTGTCCACAAGTGTCACGTTAGTGCCTAGAAAATGTTGCCTAGCAGGAATATTACCTTAAATTTAACATAACAATATAGAGATGTCTTTCTACCTTGCGTGATGAATTTTACATTTTGTTTTTCTTTAATAAATTGTGCAGTTTACTCTAAAGCCATGACTGTTTCCTTATGTTTGAATATATTGAACTTGCACTAGCTGTCGTGGTGGTGCAAGCTTGTCTGTTTTCTTGTGCACAATTAAAATTAATTTTAAAAAATCCAGGGTGGTAGGATCTTGAGGGTGATAGAATCATAGTGACCCAGATATGAAGCAAGAGAGCTTTCGTGGGTACCACTGCCTCAAGTACAAAGAGCCTGCGCTTTAAGGGAGGGCAAATAATCTAGGCAGTAAAACCAACACAAACAGGGTTATTCACTTGTCTGGAATTCAAAGTGAGTTTCAAGCATAGCTTACGGGGAGTATTTTTCTAGTTTGGCTATTTTGGCCTTTTTAAAATTCTCTCGTTTCCTGACCGTTCTTACTGTTGTGAATAACTGATAGCGGGCACTGTTTTTGCCTGCATTACAGCTGACATGTTTGTTTCATCTCTTCCACCATGGCAGCCTATTGGGAGAGAGATGGAGAAGCTCCACTAAGTTAATGGTATAGTTGCGGTGACAATGCATAATTTTCTTTTATTTTTTTTGTAAATTTCTTTGAGATTTCGTTTGTTTTTTTTTCTTTCTTTTCTTTCATGGTTACATAATTACATAGGCTGAAAAGAGACGTGTCCAAGTCCAGCCTTCCTCACATTTATTTTTTTGCAGTTTGAAGCCCTTCCAATTTTGCAACAAACTAGGGAAAAAAATTCCTTCTTGCCTCAAAAAGGCAGTCACATTAATCCTTGGATCAATAAGCATTTACCCTACATTGAAAAATGATATCCTTGAATATTCTGTTTTTGCAAGTATGCATCTAGTTGCTGTTTAAACATCTGTACAGACTCTGATAAAACCACTTCTTCAGGCAGAGAATTCCATATCCTTATAGTTCTTACAGTAAAAAAACCTTTTCCTTTGTCTTAAACTAAATCGTCTTTCTTCCAGTCTAAATGCATGACTTTGTGTCCTATGTAAAGTCCTGTTTGTGAATAGATTTCCACACAATGGTTTGTATTGGCCCCGAATATATTTGTATAATGTTATCATATCCCCTCTGAGGCAATGTTTTTCTAAACTAAAGAGGTTTGTTAACCTTTCTTCATAGCTAAAATGTTCCATTCCTTTCAGTTAGAGAGTAAAGCATAGGACTCGCAAGTCCTTCAGTATCACAAAAGTGGCCGCACAGGTCCCTTTACATATATACTTTCAGGTGCGTTCCACATTTTTATGATCTAAAGTACAATAATGGAACAAATTTTATTTTAGGTAACACGGTATGACCCCAGCCACTCAGCTCCCAATAGGGCCTATGTTAAGTACATTTTTTCTGTGTGCAGACCGGTGTGCCGCGTTATGATTACTAATTGGGCCATGCTCCAAGCCCCAGGGTTTATATAAAGCAAGAAGTATGCATTCGGAAAAGAGGGACTGAAAGAGCAAGAGGAATGTGCAAGGTCAGAGCGTGTGCATATCAGTGCGTCCGGCTCCCGGCATCGTCCACTGATTACCATCAAGTCCTGCAGCCGTGGTGCTTCCCCAGATTTACAAACCGGAAACTTCAGAGAACATGCGCGCTAGCCACGCCGCCCATATGTCTGTGTGTGCTTGCATCCAATCTTGGGCCAAGTACCACTGCTCCTCCAGAGCCCATAGCTCCTCCATTTTGGTATACCACAGGGTCAATAAGGCTATGATAAATGGTTGTTGGGAAATCAGGTGTTTGCCGATAGTGGGGTCAAGCCAAGGGAGGGCAGAGAGTGGCCTGCCAGCCTGATGAGATTCAATGGACTTCCAGGGTTTCTGTACTCCTTTCTTAGGACATTCTAAGGTGCGTTGAATATGGCATGCTAACTTGGTGTGTTGGAAGGCTTAGTGTATGATTTTCGTAGTACATGTGATAATTCATCACGCCTGTGAGTTCCCTCAGGAGTGCGTCATCTAGTGTTTATGTGCTTGTTGGGTTCCTTATTTTGTCAGTTCTCGGATTGGGTATTCCCTGGCTGTTTTAATAGCAGAGCTTTGTGAGATTATAATCCCGAATCACGCTCTTGTGTGCCTCACTTGTTAAGAGAGGGGATGTGTCCTGTGGTAGGTTTTCAGCTAAGTAGTTTGTAAGAGTTTGTTGGTCACCTGAGGGTTAGGGCCTCGGATACGGAGGCACCGGCATCATGGAAGTTAGAACCCCCCGCTCCGGGGTTGAAGGAGCGGGGGGTTCCCCAACTACAAAGGACACCGACCCCTGGGTGAGCGGATGGCACTGCGTCTATGAGCCGACGAAATGGCTGTGGGTCACTATTAACAATCCACTATGGTAACACAGAAACTGCAGTTTCATAGAACCCACGCCCCAAACCCCACTATGGCTATTGGTTATATTGCTAACTCACATTATCACCTTTCCTTATCTTGCTATTGTCATAAGTTATTCCCTCCACAGGTCATACCCCTGTCCCCCTTGCTTGCATACTTTCCTGGGCAACCGGGTTGGGTTGAGAAGAAAAATGGATGCAGGGTGTAGAAATCTGGGAGTAAAAGGTGCCGGTAGTCCTCGTCTGTGTTTGAGCGTGGCAGGGAAATGATTAAGTTCAGTGTTACGGTTGCCTCCAGGCTGGCTGGAAGTTGGACCGTAGAAAGGATGCTCCTAGCGCTCCCAAAGGACCATCAGCACCATAGACACGATAACTACTGCATAGACACCATAAGTACTGCAGACTCCACGAACCGCCGCTGCTGGGCTAGGATCTTGCCATCGGCTATCCACCCTGGACCTATGACCAGGCTCGAGGTTCCAGTAGGTGAACCTCTTCCTTCTGTAGAGCGAAGCAGGGTCAGGTACAAGAGCTCAGCTAAGGGAGTATGAAGAGCATAGCAATCCCTGTAGTGATTATAGCTGTCCCCTACAAACATGAGTCAAGGCTGCAAGTTAGAGGGTCAAGTCATTCTCATTTATTTAGACAATGGAACCAGCGCTTATATACAACAATAAATGTTAGGTACAAATGTAACTTATAGTGATAGATAGCTGCCAAACATTCAGAGATTCCTATTAACTGAAGGCACAAAACAAATTAAGAATGTAGCGCTTATATGTAAAGAAATTAATCACCTTTTGGATGTTGGAGAAAGAATATCACTTAAAAATCGGCACGAAAAGATGCCTTTCTAGGGATGACTCCCAGTGCCTTCTATCCAAACGTCTCTGAGTCTTTCGAATTATTAGTCCACAAGGATAGAGTAACTGTAGCAACAGAGTTTATTGCAGCCACAAAGATTGGCTGGAAATAAGAAAAAGGAATGAACTGCATCCAACAGCTCCCTAATCCTGCGAGCGTGTGTATGAACCGGAGAGTTAGTTACTTCCTCCCAGTCTGCCACTATCCAGCAGCCTTAAAGAGAGGCCGGTATAGGGAAAGGTCCCTCTGCTGGGACCTTTCCCTATACCGGCCTCTCTTTAAGGCTGCTGGATAGTGGCAGACTGGGAGGAAGTAACTAACTCTCCGGTTCATACACACGCTCGCAGGATTAGGGAGCTGTTGGATGCAGTTCATTCCTTTTTCTTATTTCCAGCCAATCTTTGTGGCTGCAATAAACTCTGTTGCTACAGTTACTCTATCCTTGTGGACTAATAATTCGAAAGACTCAGAGACGTTTGGATAGAAGGCACTGGGAGTCATCCCTAGAAAGGCATCTTTTCGTGCCGATTTTTAAGTGATATTCTTTCTCCAACATCCAAAAGGTGATTAATTTCTTTACATATAAGCGCTACATTCTTAATTCATTCTCATTTATTTGGCGCCAAAGGGCCTTCTTTTATGCAGGTTTTCATTACATAGGACCACCCACAGGGTTTTACAGAACAACCAATAACACACGTACATTACAGAAAACACTCCCAGCAATTACACACAAAATCCTCCCCTCTGCATAATTATCACAGGCAGGAAAAATACAGTCTTTATACATGTACTATAACTTTAAAACCATAAATCCAATCTTCATAAAGAATCTGCACACTTTAAATATAAACATAACCAAAAATCACACAAATCCCTCCAGTGGATAAAAAGTTAGACGAAGTCCTTTATGACTAAGGCTGAAACTTAGTCTCTGTGGCTGAAAGTTCAATATGGAAGAAGGTACGGGTCAGTGGTGTTTGCGGAAATGTGCAGCCGATTTTAGTTCCATGAATTTGGCTGCACACACCGCTGACCGTATTTGAATGAACAAAGATGGCGCTGCCACGTGTTCATTTGCGCGAACAGCGGCCACCCAGCGTTCGGCAATTTACCTACAGCAGGCTCCCAACCTGGGAGGTAAATTGCCTGCACACTTCCACTTCTGGGTGGTCCTCCTGTGTGGTACTTGGTTCAGTAAGCCCCATTTACTGAACCAAGTGGGAAATAGCCAGCAACAAAGGGTTTTAACCAGGTCTGGGGACACAGGTTTAAAGGGGCAGTGTCCCAAACAATTCTGGGGACACTGTCTTAACCCCTTAAGGACCAAAATTCTGGAATAAAAGGGAATCCTGACATGTCACACATGTCATGTGTCCTTAAGGGGTTAAAGGGGCATTGTCCCAATTTGTCCCAAAAAGGTGCTTAACCCCTTAAGGACACATGACGTGTGACATGTCATGATTCCCTTTTACTCCAGAAGTTTGGTCCTTAAGGGGTTAAAGGGCCAGCACCAGTCCCATAAAAAGTTTGTAAGCCCCAATATGTCTTAAAGGGCCATACACACCCGGGCCATACACACCCGGGCCATAGTAATGGGGGAGGAGCTAATAGGCTTCTCCATAATCCTGGAGAGCAGGGCAATTTGTCATTTAAAGGAACAGTTACAAAAGGCATTTTGTAACATTCAGCATATAGGTTGTGTCCTGGAGAGCCTAGGAATGTTTAGTTAGAGGGGGAATACATGCAAAGTAGCCCTTGCCTGGTGCAGAAATGGGGGCGGGAAGGGGGAGGTTGGTGGCCCACTAGCGGGAGGTACCTGACTCTCTGGGTGTGTTGTGGCAGTGCCGGTCTTGGGTTCCTGGTGAGGTTGTATAGTTAAAGTTGATCAGGCCATCTCATATTTATAGCTGGCAGTTGGAGCTTTTTGCCCAGCTCTACATAGCATGCCGCGGATCTGATCGGAGAGCACTTCCGCGCTGTCTGCTAGTGTGGTCTGGGCCGCCGACAGGGAGCCGCACACTGCTTCCACGTGGCTCACTCGGCCTGTTATGACCTGGATGTCCTGTCTGATCACGGCTCCCAGCTCTGACGTGGTGGAGTGGAAACCCATTTTTGTAGTTAGGGCTTTAATGAGGTAGTGCCATTGGGACCTGTCTGTGCCCTCCAAAGGGATGAGATGAGTGGGCCTTTTTTGGGGGTCTGGGTGCTTCCCCGATTGTGGGGGTTTTGTTGGATTTCCCCATTGTTGCTGTGAGAAGGGGCAATTTGTCCTGGAGGAAATTATATTTACACAGCAATTTTCCACGGGTGCCAAGCCATGCCCCGACAATGCATAATATGCACATTATTACTGAATTCCACATGTTTTAATTGGCAAACCAGTGTCATGCAGCAAGAGTGGGGCTTGTCATCTGAAAATGTGCCAATAGTTCTATAGACTTCCTTCTATAAGCTCACAACCCCTGAGGATTCCTATCAGGTATGAAGCATACTGCCAGTGTGTTGAGAGCACCACCCACTTAAGTTGGGCATGTGTAGCAACCTAGCATATAGATACAGGTCTGTCTGATACCATCATGTTAATAACTGATCTGAAACATCCTGTAAATGAGGTGAAGCAGCACATTTGTGTCCGAATAATTATTTTATTCAACTCATTATCCAGTTTCATTCATATCTACTCCTTCCAGTTACATGTGTAGTGCAAAGTACATGTTCTCCACCAACATCACTAAACAGTATTTTTTTTGTTTTGTTTGGGTAATCTAGGAATATCCATTTTTAAGTTGTACTGGTTGTCACGCCAAGGGTACATCATTCATTGTTGCACAATAGAACATTGTCATTTCATGTAATTTGTGTAGTGCATATATGAATTGGCCACTTGGTAGAGGTCAGATGACAGAAGGGGTAATGTAAATTGTATAGGAATGTGAAAGGGGGCAGATGGTTTACAACATGGATTGATACGTTGATTTATCAACGGCTCTGTAAGGTGTGAGAAGTCACACATAAGTGGCCTGGAAGTCTAGTTCCAATGTAAACTAACTGACTTCCACCATATGGCATGTACCTCTTAATTGATGAGTTAATTTATTTGATATGTTAATGATCATTAGCTTTGTGTTCAAGTATCATATCCAAAAGAAACATTAATACACACAGAATAATAATTAAGCCGCACTTTTATTATATTTAGAATGGGACAAGCACAATCTTCTTATCAAGCCTAAAGTTGATTTGCGTAACTTAACCATATGACAAGGGATTGTGATGTCTGCTATATTGGGTCACAAGTAAGGAGTGTGACATATCTATGGAATGGAAAATGGTAACACATTCATAGATGCAATTATTTCTGTGGCAAGTACAAAAGAGGAGATAGAAAAAGTTTCTATTTGGATTGATGTTGGTCTTGAACACAAGGGGGTGGTCACTTATTATTTCTATTGGTACGCCTTAACTCCACCCCCTGGGCAAGACTTTGTAATCCCATTGTACAGTGCTACAGAATCCCATTGTACAGCACTACGGAATTTGCTGACGCTATATAAATATTCCACAGGGTATATATTTAATGACTCAGAAATGTGTTTGGACTTGCTTGGAGACAGAATCTATCTCACCATCTTCCTTGCCAGAGATCCCCTGGGCAGAAATTTTACTTTGAAGTAAGTGATTAGGACTTCTATTATTTTATCCTTTTTGTTTTTATCTGTTGTTGGTGTAAATAAATTGTTTAGCACCTATTTTTGTAAGCACTGTGACAATTTTTTGCTCATAATAAATATTCCTTTATTAAGGTCTGCCTTTGTCTGGTAAAGAATCGCGTTAGCTGAAGAGACTAATGAGACTGAGTGTTTTGCAGTTGCATAGGTATTGTGCATAGGTATTTGGTGGGTTTTTATTAAGTTACCTGGGGGACCAAGGCACCCCATTTATAAATTGTCTTGGTGGTGGCAGCGTTAAAAGTGTAATACTTATATTATTATGGTTAGGTGTGGGTGGTGGTAAGTGGGATTTTATCATTAATTCCGTTCTAATGCAGACAAATAGTGAACTTTAACCCTTTCACCACCACAACTACGTCACGCATACTCTTGAACTAGGGTGTGTTCGTGACACTGGTGGTGGCAGCTTTTTACGTTAGAATTGGTTTGGGTAGAATTAAGAAGGTTTGTTTTTGTTTTAAGAATAGTGCAGACCATGATTGTTAAGCCTTTCACCCCCTAAAGTCACACTTTTAGATATCTTTATTTTAGAAATATATGATTTAACTGTGTTTACTGTATGTGGGCATTATTCTCAAATTCAGGCATGCTTTTTACTTCTTGCTATTTTCAGTAAGCTGTACTGTTAATAATGAAGAAAGAAAAACAGGTTGCGCAAAATAATAGTACTGTGATTGTAATATTTTTTCAAAATGCCAACAAGTGGTATAATAAATAATACTAATTGTGACAAGACCAATCTTGCCACATTGCATTGAAGAAGCCTGGTTGCTTGCCTGTTGCCTTTAGACTATGGCCCCATGTTGAAACGCTGGATTTTCCCCTGCAAAGACATGAAAGCCAGGTCATTTGGTGCTTGCCCTGTTTGAGCGGTGATACCCCAGATAGCTATGCTGTGACGGAACGCTGGCACTCCGACTGAGTACCTCCGCCAATCGATGCTCCTAGTGCTCGCTGAGGACTCCAAGCACTCCAACCGACACCATCAGCACTGCAGACCCCACTTCCAGCGATGCAACTGCGCCGGGGTCTCTGCTGTCTCCACCCACCCTGGACCCAAGGCCAGGATCCAGCTTCCAGTGGGTGAACCTCTCTTTCCCCAGAGAGCAGGAACAAGCTCTTAGCAGAACTTAGTGATCATACCCTGGGGAGTATAGTGATTATAGCAATCCACAGAGTGTAGGTATCCCTTCCCCCAAACATGAGCCAAGGCTTAATGCTGGAACAAGACTGATTTATTGGCACACAGAACTCACAATTTATGCAACACAAAACTCCTCCTCTGGGTCAGGCTAGATAATTGAGTTTCTACAATACACAAAGCTCAATTATCTGCTGGCCAGAAACATTACAATTTCATAAACCACACAGGGACCCCAAAATATGCAATAACCCCATAAAAAGTATATCCTTGGAACCGGGGGATCTGGTTGAACCACATATCCAAAATTCACCCAGATCCGTTCAGTACTTTGGAAAATACAGTTTAATGCAGATTCTGCAGAACATATACAGGCTAAATGAAAAACAATCACTGTATAATGTGTCCCCTGCTGTATAGTCCAAAACCACTGCACGATGTCTCTGTGCACCAAATACTGGCGAGATGGCACCGTGTTGAAAAGTCCAAACAGTGTCTGGGAGTTAAAATGGCCGCCATCCATTGTTCTCACCATGTGCTTCTGATACAGGAAATGGTGGCCACCCAGTAACTCCACAGTATGTCCCCAGATGGTTCCCAAAGGGCCAGCAGCAGCACAACACAAATCCATTATGCC